CATGTTATTTTCACCTACAAAGGAAAAAATCTCTTGATCAAGAAAGATATCAAATGCAAAGATGACGAACTCACCCATCTTTACACATTGATTCTCAACCCAGACAACACCTATGAAGTTCGCATTGATAACGAAAAAGTTGAAAGTGGTAAACTCGAAGAAGATTGGGACTTTACCGCTCCAAAACGAATTCCAGATCCAAATGCTAAAAAACCATCCGACTGGGTTGACGCAGAGAAAATCGATGACCCAACTGACTCCAAACCAGACGACTGGGAAAAACCAGAACATGTTGCCGATCCTGAAGCCAAGAAACCCGAAGACTGGGATGATGAAATCGATGGCACCTGGGAACCACCAATGATCGACAACCCAGAATACAAGGGTGTTTGGAAAGCTCGTCAAATCGATAACCCAGCCTACAAAGGCCCATGGGTTCACCCAGAAATCGATAACCCTGAATATGTTGAAGATGCAAATCTTTATTTATTCAAAGACATTGGTGCTATTGGTTTCGATTTATGGCAAGTCAAATCCGGTACTATCTTTGACAATATAATTATCACAGATAGTGTTCAACGCGCAGAAGAATTCGGTAATGAAACATGGGGCAAAACGAAAGATCCCGAAAAGAAAATGAAAGATGCTCAAGACGAAGAAGATAGAAAGAAAGAAGAAGAAGAACGTAAAAAGAAAGAAGCTGGTTCGTATTTTCCCTGATCAATTATCAGAAAAAAACTCTTTCTCTATTTCTTTTCCAGATGACTTAAAGAAGAAACCAGCTGATGAAGATTCCGATGCTGAAGATAACAAAGCACCTCACGCCGATGATGAACTATAATGACTTGTCCAGAAAGAAAAAGACTTACATCGTACATTCCCAGTCAGTTTTAATTGCAAAATAACAACTATATACACATCCTGTGAGGTAGTTTTTCTTTTATTTCAACTTTAGCTCTTTTCGTTAATCTACTTTATTTGTTTCATTCTATTGTTGTTTGTTTTTGCTTTTTTTCTTGTTCAACGAAAAAAACCCCAATAGTTTATGGTGCAAGATTAGGGAAACAGAAAGTGCAAATGATATAGATTTATTTCATAATGACACCTAGTAGAATCAGACAGCTAATGCGTGTTCTTCTTTGTTCTTGTTGCGCCGATATCTACATCAGTTCTCTTTCTTCTCCTTATTTATCTATTTATCTATTTCTGTGTTTGTGTGTTCATTTGATTTGACTATAACTTGCACGCTTTTCTTCTGTTCCGTTTTTTTTNGCAAGATTAGGGAAACAGAAAGTGCAAATGATATAGATTTATTTCATAATGACACCTAGTAGAATCAGACAGCTAATGCGTGTTCTTCTTTGTTCTTGTTGCGCCGATATCTACATCAGTTCTCTTTCTTCTCCTTATTTATCTATTTATCTATTTCTGTGTTTGTGTGTTCATTTGATTTGACTATAACTTGCACGCTTTTCTTCTGTTCCGTTTTTTTTATACGTCGCTGTTTATGGATTATAGAAAAAAAAGAGAATATTAGAAAAAAAAACGACGGATATTATAATGATGAGTTCAATTGATGTTGTTTTTGAGTATCAGTCATGGCGAGTTCTAATCCCGATTGACATTTCGAATAGTGTCATTCGGCAATATAATACCTTGTGTTTTTTCGTTACTAATTCGATGTAGAAGAGCACTGGAAGGCTTTTCTTTGATCCAAAGCGTAAATAATAGCAAATATGGTTTCACTTTACATGAAAACCCAAGGCTGAGAATGTTCGCTGATGATCAACTAGTGAAATCATTGATAAAAATGTTGTTTTTTTATTCGAATCAATCATAATTGTTTGAATAAATTTCGTCAAAAAAACAAAACTGCAAGGTGTCTTAACAGGCGAACATCGTTTCAAATTTCATCGTAATTTGTTAACATCACAAATGAAAAAAATTGCTCTCTCAATTTGTTTGCTTGTTTTTTTTTTATAAAAAAAAGGACGCACAGCACAAAATTATCAGCGTGAATGAAAAGTATAATAAACAAGTTCGAAAATAACTAGAATGACAATGACAATAAATTACGTTTTACGTGGAGGAAGACGTGGAAGTGTCGGCAGTGGATCATTTCGAAAATCCTTCAATGATTTTTTCGTCGGAGAACTAGGTGGCTTTTGACTTATTGATTGTGATGATGGTGAAGAACGATGTGCATTATTAGTCGAAAGAACAGGTTCATGACTAACACGCATTGGTGCACGCATACGATCCGCTGCTGAGTTACTAATTAATAAGAAACAAAAAGAAGCATTTGATTTCAGAGATAATTATGTGTTTAATGAAATCACAGGTTATTATATGGAGGTCAACAACTAATTTTTATGTCGAATTAGACACTTGAAATGTGTGACTAATTGATTTATTTATTCTAAACGTTTTCAAGGTTACTGAAAGTACATGTGATAACTTACGAGTTTTCTGCAACTGATGAGCGTGAACTTGCACGTGAATGTGTATGATGTAAACTAGCAGCTGAATTTGATCGATAGCCTAAAAGAATCAGATATAAAACAATTGAGATATACTTGTCATATGCATTATTCGTCACTGAATGGTGTATTATGATCAAGATACAAGAATCGAATGAATGATGTAAGAATAAGTTAGAGCTGATGCAAAGGACAGTTGCTAATCAGGCAATGTCAATGAAGAATTCCATGCAGATCATGCCTTACAGTACTGATCTGCTTACCGATCAGATCTGTGATTATTTGTTTTGATAGACTTAACATAAATAGATCGACTTCTTTCTCATCAGACAAACTGAAAATGATGTCACTCGTTTGTAGAGAAATGAAGAATAGTACCTGTGTCACCGGTAGTCAATCGACTTTCTGATTTTTCAGGACTATGAGTTGATAAAGCGGATGTTGGCCAACGTTGCTCTTCGGATGGGAAGGATTCGTCAAATGCGAAATTGCGACGGTTAGATGGCGATGATGATGCTGGCTCTTCTGAAACATGGCAAAGCAAATCTTTCGTGATGAAGCGCCATGATCGAACTAACCTTGCTGAGAATGATCGGATCGTTTGATATAATCATTCTCTTCATCGGATTCGTCAACTTCAAGATCATTTTCAAGAAGATCATCATCGTCGGCAATACGTAACACTTGTGGTTCAAGGAGTTTCTTTCGTTCTTCAATTTTACTGTAAAAATGAAGAAACTATGGTTTATTTTCATAGAAATATCAAATCATACCGATTATGTTCAATTCTCCATTCGTCAATTTCTCTCATTAATGGATGATTCGACACGGAGGCCGAGGTCGAAACAGGTAGTGCTGATTTAGCTAACTTTTCTTTCGTGTTTTCCGAGCTTTTCACTGGAGAAGTATCAGACATACGCGCTTGCTGCTGCTGCTGTTGTTGTTTACGTGCTCGTAAAATCTTTGTTAGATTACCTTGAAATGCTGGACCAATGGTCAATTCACTGACAACATCTTCATTGTTATCTACGATTAATACAAAAGTCTCATTACCATCGTATGATACGACAATCAAACCTAGAAGTTCTAGTTTTGTTGGATCTGTATTTGGACGCATCGATGCTGTCGGTGGTCGAATACTACCAGTAGAACCGGGTCGAGCTGAAGATCGAGGACGATAATAAGCAGCAGTTGTTGGTCGATTTAATGGACTTTTATTCGCTGATCTCGGCCGAGATTCCGCTAAAATAAAGTATCGACCGATTATCATAAAAATCAAATTCAAGCATTGCTTTATATTAACCTTGATTGCATGCTAATTTTTCATCAGGCGGAGCCATACCAGCGGCGATACATTCCTCGATCAAGGACCAATCTTGTTGAAATAACATTGCTCCATCTCCGGACATTGATGATGATAATTTATTCGATCGATTAGTCGGAATATCGTCGAGTGTTTGAAGGCGAGGTAAACGATGAATGACATCCGTTCGATATTCTGTTTGATTGTTAATCTAAATTCACGAGAAACTCCAATGAAATTATTGAAAAAAAACTTCAAACATACCGGATTGCCTTCGAGAGTCAATGTAGTTAAACTTGGACATAGAGCGAGAAATTCAACTTGACGTAGGTCATCAACGAGATTGCTAAATAGATTTTTCATTTATAATATAAAAATATCGGACACAAATACCTTTCCAAGTCAAGTAAGCGTAAATTTTCAAGCATACTCAAGGCACTCAAATCAACTATTTCATTATAAGCAACATAGAGTTCTTCCAGTGATTGTAGACTTGTAATCCCATCTAAATCATTTAGACAACAGCGAGCCATCCAAAGAATCCGTACATGTGATAGTGACGTTCCAAGATCTCTGTAAATAGGGAAAATAATAAGGACGATTCGAAATCTTCTGTTGATTCATTCGAATCATTACCTTATTCGTGGTATAACACTATTACTTAACTTCAGTTGAATTAATTTCTGTAAATAAACTCCAAAGTTTCCCAAACTCGTATCGGACGTATCGACAATCATTTCTAATTCTCGAATATTCGCTAAATCATCTTTTCCAGTTAGTGCTCTCTACAAGAACGACAAACCACACGAAAGAATTCTCAATATCAATCAAAATTGTCTTACCAATTTCGTTGGTGAAAGAAATTCTTCTAGTAAAAAGTCGGCTTCTTGTAAAATCAATGGTTCTGGATTAACGCGATAATCTTTTTGTTCAGTTATATGAATACCACGACGTAAAGGTTGTTTACGTGCTGAGGATTTCTCAATATCGATCGGCATACTTGAAACTCTTGAAAAAAATCGACCAAAGCAATTTTTTATTTTCGTATCAAAATAAACATTTGCATACCTGAGCATAACCTAAAAGAATCAGAGTAATTTTATTTTCTACATAATATAAAACGTATTAAAGTAATCGCTGTTTGATTTCCATTTACAAATTCTACTTATGGACTTAACCAGGCAACCTACGTAAGAAATTATGCAGAGTGACAAAGTGCATAGATGTGTCGCCAAAATCTGATTGGCTGATTTCGTTTGTTTGTTTATATATTCTCGTCGAATCTTATTCTTCGTTTCTTCTGTGTTGTTTGTTTTTTTAAAGACTTGTGCATTCGTTTCTTCTTTCTTCTTTTTCTTCTGTTTTTTTTTCTTGTGTGTTTCGTGTGTTCAGAAATCCTGTTCTTTTCTTCTGTTTCTTTTTTTCATTTTCTCCTGTTCATTTCTTCTAACTAACTTTATTGGATTTCTCTATTTTCTATTTGATTGCTATTCAACATTCTGTTCACGTATCTGTGTATTCTTTCGTCTGTTTATCTTTTGTGTAATCATCTGATTTCATAATGTCATCATCTGGGAATGGACTCGATCAGATACCAACATCAACTACTGGTTCATCGACGGCAACATCAAATAATCCAGTAAATAATAATAATACGAATTCAAATAACAATTCGAATGGAAATAATAATAATAATCCAACATTTCAATCTGGTCGAAATAGTTCAGATAACATGGGACATACATTCGAAAATCCCATGCAAATGTTTACAATGAAACAACAACCAATGACATCTCCAATTACAGGAACGATTTATACAGGTCCACCAGCGAAGTATTTAAGCAACGGTGGAATGAATAGTAATGGTTATGCATCAGCTGGATCAATGAGACCAATGTTACTGCCACAACAGCAGCAACATCAAAACAGATATGGTACACACAATGGAAATAATAACAATAATGGTTCATCAATGCAACAACAACAGCGTCGACAGAACAATGGAGGAGTTGATAATGCGACCAATGATTCGGTTAAGTGAGTCAGATATTGATTTGAAATTCTTTTCCATGAACAGTATTTGTGATTTAGCACACGAAAAGTTTTTGTTGGTGGACTTAGTCCAGATACAAAAATGGGTATGTTTGGATTCACTCTTATTAGTTATTTCTATGTGTCTGAAAATATGTATTGTTGTAGAGCATCTTTGCGAATATTTTGCTAAATTTGGTAATGTGGAAAGTGCTACTGTTAAATTCGATAAATCAGGTCGTTCAAAAGGGTTCGGCTTTGTTCTATTCGAGGATCGCGATTCTACAGATAAGGTAACACCATCATCCATTCCTTTATGCATGTCTATGCAGTTTATTTTCGCAGGTATACTCTCAAGATTCACATATTATACAAGGCAAACGTGTTGATACCAAGTCGGCACATCGTCGGGATCAAGCACTGGCACGTAAAGTATTCGTTGGTGGTTTAGATGTTGAAGTAACCGATACTGAATTACGTGATTATTTTTCGAAATTTGGAAAGGTTCGTTTTTGCTTTGGATGTCCAATTTGTATGAAATCTTGTTTTCAAATTCATGTATAGATTGCTCAAATCGAAGCACCTGTTGATAAAATCAAACAAAAACGACGTCCGTTTTGTTTCGTTCTTTTCGAAAATGAAGAAAGTGCCGAGGAAGTTCTTCAACAACCACGCCATACAATCAATGGCAAATCTATTGATTGTAAACGAGCAAATCCAAAGAGTACAGAGAACAATCAGCAAAATAACAACACAAATCATTCTATGCAAGCACCAATGCCGCATTATAACATGCCTGGATTAAATCAAACTCCATTTCAGTATCCACAACGTAAATAATATAACATTTTCCATCGAATGCAATCTTTCAATTGTATCGTTTTAGAACAACGCTCACAACAAGCATCATCTCATCAACAATTGCAATATCAGCAAGCAGCACTAGCTGCGCAACAACAGCACTATCCATTTTACAAGTAAAAACGATAATTTTCGTAGGGACACAGATTAGTATGCATATTTCAATTGAAGTTCATCATCGATGGGTATGTCGTCTGCTCAACAACATCCGTCAACCAATCAGCAAGGACAAAATCGTTCGCAATCCAATCGACAACAATTACCAAGTAACAATCAAGGCCTTCCTCAACCGTGGTCACCAATAAGTCCAGCTCAATGGCCGAATACCAATTATGGTAAAATATTTTCTTTTTTCGACCCGTAATTGTTCAACCTATTGAATAGATCCTCGCTCCTATGGATCTTACGGTCCATCATCAGCATCTGGTTCAAATCCTGCTTGGCAGGTTGGTCCACCACCTCCACAAGCCAATTCTTATGGACAAGGACGAACACCCTCGAATGGTCCATCAGGCAACCCTGGAAATGCAGCTGTAGGTCCTCCACAAGCTCAGCCTCAATTTGGCGGAGCAAATTCAAATTCTCCTCAATATTCTTATGCCAGTTGGGGTTTTGGTCAACCACAAGGTTCACAAGGACCACCTTCTGCTGGACCACCACCAAATCAATATAATTACGGCGCTGAATCAACAAATGGACCACCTAATGCGTTTGCATATCCAGCACCAACAGCTTACGATCACTTCTCCTCTGATTCAGCACCTCCATCCACTTATAGTCGTTGATGAAAGAGCTCACATGTACACTGTATAGTTTCGTTGTTTTCCTTTTTGTCGTCCCCTTTATTCTTTTTTTCGTGTTTCGTAGCCCTCTATTATCTTTACTTATATCACTATATAGATATGATCATTACTGCGTGTGTATGCGCGTGTGCGTATTCTGCTTGCTGAACAATCTTTCTTCTCTGTTTAGTAACATCATTGTCATCAATTTCCGTTGACCGCTCTCTTTTCTCTCTCTCTCTCTCGATTTCATCTGTTCAATCATGATGCCGAGTTATTATTTAAGAAAAACATTTTTTGTATTCTTAATTCTTATTTTTTCGAGCATCATTATCTCAGATATTTTTGACGTTGCTTTTCTTTCTGTTCTCTACTTTTGAATTGTGTGTTGACGTTTTCTTTTTGCCGTCAAACAAAGATCTTAAACACTATTTGTTATCGTTGTTTGTTATTTACCGGTTTTTGGATGATGATTCTTCTTCTATTCATTTACTTTTTCTTTGAAACAAACACAGTATTTCGACAACACATATACATTCGAAACGAACAATAGTTTTCTTTTCTTTTGTTCTCCGTTCAGCACACAACAAGGTTTCGTGTTTGTTCGGATGTATTATACTTCATTCTTTTCGTTCGCGTCTCATCTGTTATGACGTGATCATTAATATTATTATTGTTGTTGTTGTTGTTGTTGTTGATCTTGAGTTCTTCACCTCTCGTTTCTTCTACCATATACATTTATGCATTTTTGTGGTTTTATTTTCTACAACTGAATCATCTCATCAGTTAGATTGAAAGCGCGCGTATACGCACACACGCATGCATATACATTCACACATAACGTTTTTTTTTCTTTTGTTTTGTTCTATTTGGAAACCTTTCTTCCTTACTCTTTCTCCTTGTTCTTCACAACATTTTCTCATTCTCTTTCTCGTTATTCGATATGTATAAAAAAACAAAACGCGAATAAAGCAACGAAAAATTAAATGAATTTTATTTGTAAATGAGATATTGAAGAAGATGATTTTACGCTTGCATATTATTTAATATACGTTAAACAAATTAACACACAGAAAACTTGCTTGTTTTTTGTTTCGAACAGCAAACAGACACGTCTCATTAAACCTTGATAAGTAGAAACAAGGACGGACGTTCTTCTTTTTATGTCTCTTGAATAGAGATGCAGTCAAGTGGAACATTCGTTTTTTTCATACGCTAACGTTAACCATGTATGATGCCCTATCGCCATCATCATCAATATCAAAGGAAACAAAGTGATATTGCTTTCGAGTAAAGGTATTAACATCAAAACAGAGAAGAGTAACGTTTTCCAAGAATAATGGGTGGGAATAGTTCACGGCGACGAAAGCCAAATACACCCATTCCATCGTACACACCCGGATCACCAGGTTTTAATCGACCTGGCATTCCACCTACGACTGGAATTATCAATCCAGCAGTGAATCCTAATCAACAACGAGACTTGGTCCAGGCTAATCAAACAATAGCCAATTTAACCAATCAAATCAATGCTATGCAACGCGGTGCAAGTGGAGCTATGCCTATACCACAAGCACCTTACGGTGGTTATATGGGACCCGGTGGTACACCACCACCGATGAATTATGGTACTCCACCACTATATCCGTATGGAACACCACCGTATCCGTATGGAACACCGGCACCAATGCCATATGGTACTCCGCCATATTCTCCTCCTAGTCCTGCACTTCCGCATTTTGGCGGACCAAACCCGTATCCATACCATTCACCACCGATCATAGGAGCTGGTGGTTATCGTGATTCTGATTTTTCTGCTATGGCTAACATAGCTGGTTTGAATCCAGCTGATGTTGCATTACTTCATCGAGAATTTATGAATTTAACTCGTGGTGGAATAAATAAAATCGATCGTGTCGTTTTCCGTCAAATATTACGCGACGTACTTCTCGAAGCTAATAATGAACAAGTCGATCGTGCCATTGAAAATATGTTTGTTACCATCGATCGAAACCGTGATGGTTACATTGATTTTCCTGAATTTATAGGTGCATTTAAAGATGTGTTAAAAGGACATATTTCCGATGGTCCAAGTTATTTACATGATGACATTTACCCTGATGCCCTAAGTAATCAACTGCGAGCAGCGGGCGTAGGCAGCGGAATTGCAGCGAGAAATGTACCTTTAGTTCAACAAGCTGTACCTGCCACACAATTGGTTTCTACTGGTGGACTTAGTATTGTACCCTTAGCATCGACAGCGGTTCAACAAACACCTCTGATCTGTAGTCCTGCGGCGACTGCAGTTCAACAAGTACCTCTCGTTTGTAGTCCTGCGACGACTGTGCAGATTTCAGATGCAGCCGCACCTTTACTCACCCTTGATCCTAGCCAATCATCGTATGTTATCGCAACACCCGGTCAATATTTGATAACACAGCCTACAGCTTTACAATGTGTGCCTTTACCAACAATGTAAATTTCTTCTTCTTTTGGACTTTAATCGAGTTGAACAAAAGAAGACGATTTATATATATATAGGAATTTGTGAACCTAGGATATTTTTTGAACAGAGTCATTGTCGTTTAAGCTCAGTGATTTTTCACCTTCCAAATGATCTCATTAAAGTAGAATATATGCGGTTTTTCACGAATAAATACTGATTCTCTCGAGTTAGTTTCATAGATTCCATGTTTGTTTACAGATACCATCCTAACACTTTATTGGCTAGACAATTGTTAATAGTCTTAATGTTTTCTCTCACATCTGATGTCTCTTACTTCCAATATAATTCTTGTCAACAGGCGATTAAATAATAAAAGGCTGAACCACCGGGCATGATTACATTGCCATCGTCATCGCTATTTCTAGTCATCACAGCTTGTTTTCTTCTTTTTTTTCTCATTCCTTTTCGCACACATTACCAAGATGATATCTTTAGGTAGGTGGTGAAATATATCCATGTCTATTCTTCTTTCATCTTCTTTTCCAATTTCGTCATGTACATCGTTCGAGCATTCTTTAACACATTCTACATGTGAAAATCGTATGTCTCATTTGACAATAGCTATGTAAATGTTTACGATTATTAGTTTTTGTTCGTTTGGCATATCAATTCTAATTGTCTAATCGAAATCTAAAACACGTTGATATTGTCGTGTTCGTTGAAAATCTGTCCGACAATGAGATGCATTGAAGAAATTCAGATAACACTATCATTTTAAAATAAACAAAAGTCAATATTGAAGTTTGTTTACCTTCTTAAACTCTTTCACTCTTTACCTACTTAAGACAAGTTTGTATATTCAGTGGCTCGCAAAGCGGAACGAGATGAGCGTCACGAATAGGCGTTAAATGTTTGTATTTGTCAGAATTCATTCGTTAACGCAAAAGGAAAATCTTCTTGTTGACATTAGCTTCGATACGGCCATTTACTCCAAAATCAACACACCTCCTACCTCTCTTTTTGGTAAAGGTCCACCAAAAAAATGCATTTGATATCTACTCAAACCATTATCTTCATCGTCCAAATCATTAATTTCGATGAATTTTGACAGTAAACTTCGCAGCTAATTTCGTTCAATTTCCTTTTTCTTTCTCTCTTCAAGCTGATTCACAGCTTGTTTAACCGTTTGGATTTGAATTTAACAATCTCCTTCGATTGTTCACATATTGGAAAACAGAAGAGAAAGAAAAATAGATAGGCCGTCATTGGTCATCTCCATCGATGAAAGTCGAGAGAAAGAGAAAAAAAAAATTCGATTAATTGTGGAACTGGAGAAACGAAGAAAAGGAAAACGAAACGTAATAGAATAACCGTTGGCGAGAGAGAAAAAGAAAAAAGGGATTCGTTCACGTCTTTTTGCATACATATATATTCATATACGACGAACAGGACGGAATACAGTTGCCTTTACTTTACATACAATCGAATGAAATGACTACCTTCTATGCCAGTCCCTTTTGTTTATCAAGGTACATTGAACGAAAATAGTTTCAGCTTTTATCTTCATTGTTTCATCGAATTTAGACAAACACCTCGACGTAAATTATTCGCGACAAGTGAAGACGATGAAAGTCCGATGATCCTGTCTGTGAAATCATCGAAATCAACTACTTTCGTCAACCAAACAAATCCAGCTGGTAAAACAATCCATTTTTAAAAATAATCGATAGTCAACTTTTCCTGTTTAGTCATTCCATCTGATGGCATTGTTACAATGCGACCAATATTGTAAGCAATTGAAAATGCGCGCGAATGACTAATGAAATCTGACGCTTTTTCTCTCTCTCTCTAGATCTTCTGTTGATAATAATAACCTCGGATTAACTCGTCAGTCCAAACTTGAACACTTTGGATTCGATATGTTACCTCGTTCAAGCAAAGTTTTAAAACGTCAATCATGTAAAGAAAACTCGAAATTAATTCAGAATTCACTTGTGCATACGCAATGTAGTCAAAAAACGAAAAAAATTCGAACAATCGAGTAAGATTTTCTACTTGCAATTCGTGACATATTCTTCACGATTAAAATAGAGTTCAACAACCGATTCCATCCTCATGTCATACAATGAAAACACGATCACATTCGTTATCTGTACGTTCAATTCAATCGAAGTCGCACCCAACGAAAATTATCTCTTTCTTTCTAGGATTCTCATTCAGATCATTTAGTCAAACTATTCGATAAAACACTTTCAACCGTCACACCTGTACGTGATAGTACCAATGATGATAGTGCTATTGGAAATCGATATCGACGTGGACAACCATTACCGTTAATCCTATCAGATAGTAGTCATGAAGATGATACACCTATATTGACATTGAACGTTAGTGATTTATCATCAACGGAAAGAAAAGTAGGAATGAATATGATTGATAAATTGAATTCGAATTTGAAATGTTTGTAGAAACGAGCATTTGAACAACTTCAACTTGATGAGAACAGTTGTGATCGATCACTGAAACGAAGCAAAGTAACACATGATGGTGAAAATAAAGAAAATGCTTTCTATATTCCGCCACCGAGCTCAATTCGGGTTCGACGAGGAGTGAGTCATTTCGAAGTAAATCAGCGTTTGAGCGATGGAAATTTTCTTTTCAGTTGGTTCGTAGCCTATCAGAGTTACATCCGAGTTCAAATGAAGAACAAATCAAAGCATCTGTAGAACTTGGTTCAAATCGGAATTTAACCGGTGATCGTTCACGAGCGTATTTATTACCAAGATGTACCAGTCGAAAGCATGCGGATCTTGCCTGTATCAGTGCTGAAACAGTAAATTATTCAAAGTTTGCTTCAATTCACGAAGATTCGTTTTGTTTCTCTAGATGATCGATTTACTGCGAAATAAGTACTCGTCTGAGATTGAACAGTTACATGTAATTGATTGTCGCTATCCGTACGAATACGATGGTGGTCATATATCGATAGCGAAAAACTTCTTCACACGGCCACAAGTCTATCAAGAATATTTTCGATCACCAATCAAATTAAACGATCCATCAAAACGAATTGTTTTTGTATTTCATTGTGAATTTTCATCAGAACGTGCACCATCACTGTAAGTCACTCATTCGAATCGCTAAGATTTCCACAGGCTCTTGTCTTCTAGCTTACGCTATATGCGATCAGAAGATCGAAATATTCATGCACATAATTATCCAGCTCTTCATTATCCCGAACTTTACTTACTAGAAGGCGGTTACAAAGCATTATTTGAACATTCAACAGTAAGAATGCTTCTTCCTACAAACGAATCGTTTTCTAAAAGACGAATTTCTGTATTATAGGAATTTTGTACACCAAATTTTTATCGTACAATGTTAGATGAACAATTTCAAGAGCAATGTCGACAGTTTCGATCATTTTCTAAACAATCAGAAAAATTCACTTGTTTGAAAGAAGATGTGTCAGATGTTATTGAAACTATACAAACCAATAGTAGACGTACACGTACAACGCTTCGTTCAAGTCTGTCTTTATGTTTTACGAGTACATCCCTCGAAAATCAAATCGACTTTTCTTGAAACTACTCAAGATGAATTTTTCTTCTTTTCTCTCCTTTTTTTTCGTAATTTTTTCTGTATGAAATCTGATATGTGTGTGTTTGCACTTTCCCTTTTCTCCTTTCTGTATACACCCTTCACCAAATATATCTGTCTCAATGAATATGAAGTTCTGCAAACCTAGTGAAAAAATTATTCATGAAAATATAAACGGATGAACCTCTAACATGCAATTAGTTCGACTTGGATTTGCTAATTCATAGCTCGCTGTGCGCACTCTTTGATGATGATTGTTTATTTTTGTTTTCAAAATTGTCGCTGATGATGATGAACATACTGAACAACAATGTTTTTACTATCTATCAGCATGATGTAAGTTTGTGATCTTGTCAGCAGGAATGTGTTAAAAAGAATTGAATTGAGTGCGATTAGACAACAAAACATACAAACACAGTTTGGTGTTATTATGTTCTGTACATATTGTAGCAATCGGAAAGATAATTGAATGAGATGATTTCAACGGGGAGGGATAATATTGGAATACGGTGTTTCAATTATCTTTTTTATTCGAATAATCAACAATCAAATATAGACTTTGGATAGATTGAGTAATGATAATAATCGAATTAGACGATAAAGGTTTGGTTTGTATGTTGATTGTTTGAAGAGAGGAGGAGAAAAAAAGGAATGAAGTCTGCAAGGAAGAAGAACATCTATTCATTCTTGAATTCATTGTTCGAAGAGCAGGTGTTCCATCTGAGTTGATCGATTAAGTAGAAGGAAAAGATCATGGGTTCGATTAGTAATCTGTAAGTTCAATTTCTAGTTAGAAAGTTTCGAGAAATCGATCTCTTTGTTTCGTTATGAAAGGTTTGTCTGTACTGTTCTGTCAATTACTTTTATCTGTCAATCATCATACTCTCAAGCGCCATGTCCAGTTGAAGAAGATCCAATACAATTAGCTGAATGTGCTCAACTCGATGTTCAAGCGATTATACAAGGAGCCCGAGGCAATTTGAAACTATTTTGTAATCTCGCTGAACGGTACATGGAATGTTTTAAAACTAAAACAAGAAATTGTATTGGTGGATGGGTATGACAAGCATAATTTTGCTGGAAAGAAGACCAATATATATTTACTTTATCATGTAGGCCGCAGAAGGTGGTTTAACTGAATTACAAAATTTGGCTCAGTGGTGCTGTGTTAATCCAGGTGTCCAGGAACCAGATGAATGTCCACTTCGTCGTAAGTGCTGATCTGATTGATGGAAATGTGAAATTTTGTTCGATATTTTTAGGAAATCCAAAATGTTTCTCAACTGATGATTACGTTTCCATGGCGAACGGTGAAACAAAAGTTTTGCGCGATCTTCGTCCGGGTGATCGTGTCTTAGTAATGAATTCTGAACAGAAAGTTGTCGAAGACGAAGTTCTTATGATGCTCGATAGTCAACCAAAACGACCTGGTGGAACTGTAGAACACTTTAATATTTTTATTTATTTTCTTCTCTCTTTCTAGCTTTATTTCATTCAATTGAAACTGTCTCTGGGCATCGGATTAGTTTGACAGGAAATCATTTCCTTGCTGTTGGTCACAATGATCGTTTCGTGCCAGCAAATAAAATCCAACCTAACGACATCGTTTTCATTCATCAACAAGGACAACTTCAACAAGTAACTGTTCGGAACATCACCGAAGAATACAAAGTCGGATATGTCACACCAATGACTAATCACGGTAATTGAATATTTCTTTCAATGAATTGCAAATCAGACATTCGCCTATTTGTGCTCAGGTACATTGATTGTAAATGGTATAGCCGCTTCGTGTTATTCCAGTGTCATCAGTCATGACTTAGCTCATTATGTCTTGGCACCGCTTCGTTGGTGGTACCATTTAGCAAAATTCTTCTCGGTCGAACAACCATTTGAATACTCGGCTGAGAATGGTATTCATTGGATACCTATGGCAATGCTACAGCTTACAGAGAAATATTTACCAAATGTTTTAACAATACATAGCCTGTAACCAGATATTGATTTCTAGTGGAGAAAGACATGTTTATTTTCTGTCTGTCTTTCTTTCTCTATTACATCAGTATTCAGTTTTATTGAAAATTTTTAACCGAACTGGTGTGCTTCTTATTTTATTCGTACTTAGCCAAACTTTTCATACTTATCGTTTTTTGCATATCTAGAATTGAAATAAATTAGATTATTGTTTCATCAGTCCAATATATCATCTTTACAATCAGTAGGTTTTACTTGAAAAAATATTTGTTCGCGAAAAAAGACGCAATTTCGATTGTATACTATTTGACGTTCTCTTATTGATTGACTTTTATTGTTTGCCTACATTGTTTCGTATGTGTACAGCATATGTCTATATTAAGACTTATCGACATTCAGACATGTTTTATTACGACTGAATTTCTTTGATTTGATCGTAACTGAAATGCATGATGGTTCACGTATAGAAACAGAATGTGTCGTCACGATGAAATCGTACTTTTGTTGCGAACCAAATAACAAATCTCAGAAGTAATGATTCATAGCGAATATTAGAACGCTTCTTGGTGCAGTTCATTTCGAAGTGAAATGTAGATCTTCGACCTGTATTCTATGTTTTCTAAATCATTTAGGCATGATGTCATTTTCAAAATACGAAATGTATCACCTCTCTTTCACAAAGAAGCAAGTGCTTGATTTTTCAACATGAAATAGAGGATCAGTATCACTAAGGCGTATGTATTTTGTCGTACCGAAAAGCATCACTTGAATTTCGTGAGATCTGCATACGTGAGAAGCCGAACAAACATGTTACTTTGTTTCATTACTGTTGACTTATTTTTTCTTGGATGATTTTATGCTAAATTCGTTGTGAGAAAAATTAATTAAAGTTTTGTTGCAAATATGGCACAAAATCAATAGAAATTTGCATTCAATATCCTCTTAATTAAAAGAACTGACCTCAACAAAATAAAAACACAAGGTTTCAAGTCAATCAGAGTTCTTTTCTTTTTCACCAAGTTCAATTCAACGTGAGCCATGTCTACTAAGAGTCTTATCAGTAATAAGAAGAACGATGAGGCACGAGTAAAGTCAATTATGATTAACAAATTGATTGATGATCCTCAAATGAAAGAAATGATCGTTATGGAAGTAAGACTGAATGTTTTCTCGTTCAATTTACATTTGCAAATTTCAGTACGAACAATTGACACCTTCGCAAATATGGAATCGATTTAAACAATTAGCGAAGAAGCAGGGAAATTGTTTAATTCCAAATTGGCTCTCACTCGTACTCTGCAACCTATTTCTCGTCTTCCTATTCGGCTTAATGGCTGCAGCGATTATGCTTGCTAAGGATCCTCCGGGTGAGACCCGATTTTGCGTAAAAATTTTCTTTTATTCATTTTCTTTCAGGTCAACAAAAGCAGATTACTGCTGCACCACTGAAAGCTAATCTTAGTTACAATGAATCTTGTTACACCTTTGATTCATCCTGTAGTCTAACGTTAAATCTATGGTGTATTAATGATTACTGTCAGTGTTACAATCAATTGTACTATTGGAATGGAGTCAGATGTGTAAAATGTCCAAGTACATTCTATTACAATGGATCACAATGCACTTGTCCATCGAATTTGTACTTACAAGGACCAACAAACACTTTGTGCGGTAAAAATTCACTGTTATATCTGGAGAAGATGGTTCTATAGGAATCGTTTTTTTAAGCATCGTATAAAACGTATACACAATCATGCACAACGTACGTTCTGTGTGATTCAAGTGTAGGTCTGTACTGTGACAATGGAAAGTGTAATTGTACTTATGACTATTATTGGAGTTCAACAGATGGCTCTTGCGGTAAGAATTGACAATTTTTTTTTGGCAAGATCCTACTTCTTTATTGTTAGTGAGATATTCATCAAATACAGAAAACTGTAGTTCGACGATTTATTGTCTTCCAAGTGATTCCACTGGAAATCCTACTTCACTAACATGTCTTAATGGGACATGTCAATGTCCAACAAGTGGTAAATGGTATTGGACAGGCGATGTGTGCAGTAAGTTCGACTTTTGCTACTACCAATACTTTCTACGCAATATTTTCATCACATCAGCGCAAATCAAGAGCTATAATGGATCGTGTTTCTTTGATCAACAGTGCGATGGTACTTTACAGTTGATATGTAATAATGGTGTTTGTGTTTGTTCGGGTGCAACAGCCTATGGAACTTGGTTTTGGAATGGAACACAGTGTGGTCTGTTAATCAAAATGTCTTTCATTTCAATTGATTTATATGAATCTTTCAGTTCTATGCCCTCTCGGTTGGCTCAATTATGAAATATACTGCTATTACAATTCTCCAATTCCTGCAACGCAACCTGTGGCACGTGAATATTGTCAACAGTATGGAGGTGATCTTTTGTATATTGAATCTCAAACTGAGTTTAAATTCATCGAACCTCGTGCGGCTGCGATCATTGGCAGTTATAACCTAGCCTTTGTCGGTTATATTACACTGAATAATACGGGTATGTTTTATCCGAATTGTTATTTATAATCTTTGAGTTATCTATTAATCATAGCACCGGGTAGTTTTACATGGTACAACGGGAAAACCTTTACTGGTGCGCATACACCAGACGTTTGGTGGTGCGAAGCCAACTCACGTAAGTACAACGGAATAGTCGCGATAATGTCTTTCATTTAACTTTCAAATTCTGTTTTGAAACAATTCTTTCAGCATATGGATACCAGCCAACATATTCCTATAGATCATCAGCAACTCCACAAGTTCAAGCTTGTGGTGCTCTACAAGTCTATGGCGGTACGAATGTATGCATGAATGATTGGTGGTGTTCAGCTTCATTACCATTCATATGTAAGAAATGTAAGTAATTATTTGAAATTCTCCATACCAATATTCTAATCACGTGATTGTTCTCTATTTAGCACAATGAAAATCAATGTAACAGTCCGAGCTTTCGCTATTTTTTATATACTTGACTTCTTTGATCCAAAGCTATTTTCTATTCAAAAATAATAACTTTCATTTGACACGTGTTTACGTCTAGTAAATGATATTCATTTCCATTGCAAGGAAAAACAATGATTCGATATTTCAAAGATTATTATTTTGAATTGCTACAAAAATGTCAGATCTATATTGGTTTTCATCTCTTATCAATTCTTATGCAACTACGTGATCAGTTTGAGAAGTCCACTCGTTACACAATTTGTTTGCCATATCGTGAATCTTTTGAAATTGTTCGCCGTTGCGTTGATCGTGGTATGCATTTAATGAAATACCCCCATCGAGCGCCTGCGAGAATACTAAGGATAGGCACACAATAATGGCCATCTTTCCTTCAGGCCAATCGGATAGTTTCTATTGTATTGTCCGCTTTACTGACATGATGTAGAGCCATATTGAGCACAGTTGGTGCATAGGCTGAATGTGTTTTTTTTTGAAATGCTTGATTAGAACAGCTATATCGTGATTTTACGTCAAGTACACCTAGTTCGAGATGCGGTAAGAAAAATGCTGGTTGAATAGCGTTATGCTAAGACGTATTTCTTAACAACGATCGACAAATAGAATTGACAACACCAGCAACTGATTCTGATAATGAACGAGAATGTGTAAGTACTGTTTCGTTCTCGGAAACATCAAGTAGATTATCATCGTCTATCCAAGAGCAGAACGCCAATGGAAATGAACGTTGCGCTGGTCCACATCCAGCTGTATAATCGTCAAGTCTATCGTGAGTAGTCTTGGCAGATTCATTAATCATAGCTTGATCAAAGAGGAAATTTTTATAGAAATTTATTGATCAACTATTTCTATTCGACATTTTCTTCACAGCTAGTTCAAATAAACACTTCGCTGTTTCACCAATTTCACACCCTTCCGTATGGTAAAGGTATAAATATCTGGATAGAATATCGGAACCATTGAACTGTTTACAACTAAGTAAACTGTCGCTTATGCTGGTAGCCATAGAAATCGATAGATCATAATCTGATGCGACTACATAGTCACTGAAAGTTCCTTCACATCGCGCATGAATGTTTAGCATTACTTTGCTCGATTTAAAGTGAGTCGATTTGGTGAACAGAGAAGAAAATGCGAGGTGACAAAAAAAGTTGAGGGTAAGGTTTTTCTGCTTTGAAAAAATGAAGAACTGCTATATTTGTCTCAAGGCAACACTATAAAAAGAAAGATTATTGGTCTGAAATATAATGTCGGAAGAAAGTAGCATGAGATGGTATGCTTCGACAAAGGAACAAGCGTCACTGACAGTCTTTATACCACTTCATAGGATCTGTATTCAGATGGCAATATGTAATTTATATTAATTTGAAAAAAGTTTCGTTTCAGATTATAGAAAAAAGAATCATTTTGTCAAAGAACGATATTCTAAATTTGAAAAACAGTACTTTAATGTAAAAGTCAAGAATAGCGCATGAATGTTTGTTTTCATAGATAAAGTTTAGTTCGTTAGAGTAGTAAGAATGTTAAGATCATGTAGAAGACACCGAGTGGATATAATCTTGCCAACTCAGATGCTGAATTGGTTGATGTTGGTCGAGTTGTTGATTGTGTTGTGACTGAGTCTGTGCTTCCAGTTACGGTTGTTGTTGTTGTTGTTGTTGTTGTTGTTGTTGTTGTTGTTGAAGAGGTTGTAGTGGTGGCATTAACCCGCGATGGCCGGAAATCGGAATGGAGGTTGATTGTTGTTGTAATTTGTCCTTTTAAATATTCCACAACTTGAATTGAATTGCAATAATCTTTTGTGCATCGAATATCGACTTCATCGATTTCTAATTGTCTATTCGAGGGCAAATCGATATAGTACGTTGCACGCATTCGAACACTTGGTGTTTGTACCGGATTAGTAAATGACTCACAATAACTAAAGAAATTATATGTGCAATTGTTCTGGGCTGTTGTAAAATAATTATGTATTTCATCGATATAACAGATACCATTTGGACATGAGACCTGTTTACATAGAACAGCAGTTAAATCATTAATACATTTTCCACATGAATAACAAGCTTTTGCGGGTAACTGTCCATCGAGCAATTCAGTATTTAAAATTGTCTGATCGATTTTCATTTGAAATGATTCAGGTAAATAGTTTGCAAGTGTAACATTATTACAACCGTCCCAATCGCATCCATAAGCAATAGAACTGATCGTAGTCGGAAGCCATACTGTGCTTGACAGAGCGATTGTTTCAACTGCTTGAATAAAATGGGAATCTTGTAAGTTATTCGATGAAATCGATTCGAAAACACGAGTTTCATAAGTACCATCATAAGTACTAATTATGTAACAGTATTTATCGCCAACTTCAGTCAGAGAACAATTCGTGGCAAAGTCTGCATTGCCACAAGTACCGCCATTTGTTTCCCATTCATACTCACAACTGCATAGATAACATTTTCGGCTTTTCACTGGCCGACTCAATAGTACCAAAACACTACAGATCACAACGATAGCGACTTTTTTCATGTTGCTAACAAGTTTCTCACAACAACAAATCTTTTTATTATGTACAAGTTAGAATTTAAATAATCTCATAAAGTCTCATAAATACTTTTTCAAACGTAGCAGAGCTATAAAACGGCGATAAGTAACCAGATCATAATTCCAAATGCTTGAGAAGCATTGTGATTCATCGTAATATCGGATGATTCGAATCTGAAAAGATAGAAAATACATCGGTACATAGAGAAATAAAAAACGAATAAACATATATCTGACTAATCGAAGTGCAAATTTCAATATGAGCTTGACAACCAGTTGTAAAATCGCCAATACAATGATGGTGCATCTGGAATTTGATTTCAATCATTTGTACGGCACAACTTCTCAGTGATTCGAACAATACATTCAGCTAATTAGTTCTATTATACGATGGTGCCTAGAGTCATCTAACCCGTCGATTTAACTCTTCTCAGCACAAATAATTATGATGGGCGTGACCTTGCCCAACACACACCTTCCGTTCTTACATAATTTAGTTCAAATTTCAAATCATACATGCAAAAGGGTATGTGTTTTACTTACCGACGAGATGCTAAGTTTTTTCCTAACTAGTCATAATGAACATCTCACGTATTGATAAAGAATTGTATGTTAGACCGAGAAAATTGGGTCTAGACAATACAAGTACTGAAATAAGCGAAGAAATGACGGTAGTTTCTTGCTAATGGGCTGGGCGTGGGTGGGTGCTAGAACAGTAAAATACCAGAACATTTGAATAGTTGAACAGAAATAGCTGAATACTTAAATTTAACTTTCAAGTTTGACACTACCGAGAAGATTTGTATCAACTGGAAAATTTATACCAAGATGTGTTGGACGTAAATATTAAAAATTAAATCTTACGAATATCCACTTCTTATTGTTGATTTACCCTTGAAGTCGAAAGAAAGAATTCGTTTTCGACAATGTCTAGTGAAGAGTACCATTCATTTTTAGAAATATGTCGTCAAAAGCAAGTGAAACTGATTTTGCTAACAATAGATATTCGTACTGGCGTGGTGGTTAACTCTAAACATAGAGACACTTATGCTACGCCAACTTGCAAAAGCCAACTCATCCAATCTTATCTGTTCTGTTTAGGTATAGAATTCACTTTTACATTGTATGTTGCCGTATGCAACTCGAAGTCTTTGTATTGGCAGTCGTTATTCAACTGAATATCTTCATCCATGTTTTCGATTGCGATGCGATCGTTAAACGCTAGTCAACATAGGAGAGCCATTTAGAAACGAAAGATGATTACGCGTCAATTTTAGATATCAACAAATCTTCAACCTATTTCAATTCAATAACATAATTTATTCATTGGATTCTAAGACATGCAGAAATATAAGATATACAACTGAAAACTTCAAATTCGAGTCGATGTAAACGTATCAATGTCGTTCAGTTTATGACTATGATGATTTTGTACATTTTACGACATGAATGACAGTCGATTATGTGATAAAGATTCATTTCTTTCGCAAAACAGCTATCTTTCTTTTTGGTGTTGCCTGAATCGAATTCTTCTTTGGTAATAACCTAGTTTGCAGATATAAAAAGACTGTTTTTTACTATATGTTCATATTTTCGATAGCAAAGTTTTCTTCACTTTATATGTTATTTTTCTCTTTTGAGCTTGATGTAAAAGCAATTATTCTGATTTGGATGGAGGCGTTGCCATGTAACGTTACTTGACATGATACTCAACTGTTTTTCTTCTTTTCATCGACTTTTTTCTGTTACAAACTCGTTTTATTATTGACCGAGAAAAAATTTTCCAATCAACGAGCGTCTCATACGCACTTGCACACATTCTCGTATATTGCATCGCAGCAAACCTACAAATCGAATGGAAGAGTAAAAAGAAAAGAGTATGAAGAGCTTGGCGAAAGAATATTCATTATGCAGGCAAACGACATTTTAAACAAACAAAAAACATACCGAAATGCTTCTTGTTGTCGTCAAAACAAGTTACTTTTTTTCCGTTAGGCATTGAAAATCGAAAAGAAATACTTTGTAAATGTAACAATCAGTCATGAATCATCACATTGATTTGAAACAAAAACAAAAATCAACGTCTAACTTCGTGTTTTACTTTTGTGCATGTTATATTAAGAAACAAATCATCCATTGCTAATCTTATCATTTGAGATTATCGTCAGACAAGCATAACATTCATGCGGAACATAATCATCGTTAACACTTTGAAGTATTAGATTTTTATATCAAGACTTATTATATTAGCACATTGAGAAACCTTTGAAATGGTCATGAATGAAGCTTCCTTTCTAACGAGTAGAGTTCTGGATATAATTAGCGAGAAATGTGTTAAAAAATGATCTACTAAGCATTCAGATATCCAGTTATGTTCATTGTGATCATTCGTGTATATATTGTGTGTGTATGACAACACACTTTCTCTCATTTTTTCTCTTTTTTTTTATTTCAAAAGTATGCGATGAAACATTAATAATTTCTCCTTCTTTTTCTTCTTCTTTTTCTCTATGTATGGCTGTTGCTTGAAAGAGTAGAAGAGTTTTTGCTTTGTTTGCTTGTCTTCATGTCTTCTATACATTGATTGTAGACATAAACGTCGTTTCGGTACGATAAGAAAGGAAAAAAAGATTTGAGTTTCCCCGGAAATTGTTATTGTCATTGGAATATATTCCTCACAATTCTATTCTCCAGACACAATATGTACGCCTCGTACTGCCGGCGACCGAACAAATATTGTATATTTTGAAAAGTATCCAATAAGAACGCCTTTTTTTTTACTTTTCAGAAGCCCATCAGTTTAAAATGTGTATGCTTCACGATTGACTCGTACATATTGATCATCTGTTCTACTTAAATCTGTCGGAGTTTTATTTTTGTTGATTTATTTAATATTACATATCGAATGTCACCGTCGAACCGTTCGAAATCGCCTCCGAAGGGCACACGGCCAGCAGATCCTTCACCGAAACGTTCCGTACCCAATGATACAATCAATCCTGAGAGACTGAAAATGGCTAGAGATGAAGCTGAGCGTGCAATGCGAGTATGTAGGAACAATAAATACCAGAAAAATCACGTTCAATCGATTTTAGGAACATAAGATATTCACAATTATTGGTCCATATCCTGCACTTCGTGAATCGTTAAGACGGTTAGTTGCTTTTCAGTCTTTGATATTAGCTGAGCTTTATCGTATTTGGTTGATATAGTCGTGGTTGGATTGAGAAATTCTATCGAGGAAATACATTACCAGCTGTTCATGCAAATAAAAAATCTGATAAGAAAAACAAGAGCGATGAAGATGATGAAGATGAAAATGATGATGTCAATGATGATGATGATCTAGGTAGAGAAAAACAGAATTGTTAAAGATCAGCAGTCATTTAGTTTTTTTCTTCGCTTAGACGAACATCCGTCGTATGAAGATGACACAACGATACCACCATGGGAAGAAAATGATGGTTATTACGGACTTCTTTCTCGTCTGGTAAGAACAGCTGCACCAAACTTTATCTGGAGTGTTCGAGCTACTTACGATACAAGCACATTAAATAAAGATCAAATGGTGAATCATTATTCGAGAAATGGATGTTTTACTACAAAGGTTCATTTGAAGAGTTGATTTTCATGTGACTACATATATTTTTGCAAAACTTAGGTTGGCCTTTGTAACAGTCTTCGAAGTCTGCAATGGTTTCACCCGGGTTGTGCGGATGAATTCTTTCCTCGGTGTTATAAATTATCCCATGAAGACGATAAAGTTGCTTTCATCAGTAAATTTCATTCCTTCATTCACAATAGAACACTTGAACTTCTTTTCTTAAGATGATTATCGTTTAACAGCATGTGTCAGTTTTCTTAAACTCATTCAAAATCGATGTAAAGGTGTCGCAGAACCAGATATGACTTCTATATTAGCCATGAGTTCCGACAGTCCAGCTGAACCGAAACCTGAAGTACCTGTACCTAACGAAGAAGAGCTACAATTACAACGATCAGTTACTTTACCTCCGGGTCAATTAACAGCAAAGTCAAACAATGGGAAAAATCCACCGAAAATTGTATCCTCTTCGTACATTGAATTTGCTTTAAAAATAGTCGACGACTACACATTGTCACGCGAACATGAAGATATTGATATTAATCAAGCAACACAACCTGAAACGACCGAAGAACAATGGACACATTTTATCGAACAATTCTATGTTGCTTCACAGTAAGAATAAGGAAGATAAGGTTTACTAGCAAAGATTGTACACTGTTCTCTTAATTTTTCAGTTCGAATGGTGATATTGAAAAGATGGAGAATTATCTGGGCAGAATTGACGAAGCACTAAGAAATGTTGAGCAGCATTGGGCTCAATATCATATTGATGGAACGAGAGATATCTGGATTCTTAAACCTGGTGCTAAATCAAGAGGACGAGGTCTGATTTCTTTCTTCATGCAATGCCTATGACATGCAATGGTTTTTATCTTTAGGAATTGTTGTATACGATCGTTTAGAAGACATATTGAAACTATGCTCATCAACTTTAACTAAAGATGGTAAATTCGTTGTACAAAAATATATTGAACGTCCATTACTTATTCATAAAATTAAATTCGATATTCGTCAGTGGTTTTTAGTTACTGATTGGAATCCATTAACTATATGGATGTATAAGGACTGTTATTTGCGTTTTTGCACTGAACATTTCAGTTTGGAAACAAGACAACAAAATGTACACTTATGTAATTATTCAATACAGAAGAATTATAAGAACAATTCCAATCGACATAATGACCTTCCAGGTAAATACACGATTGAAAAAATCTTAATTTAGTGCTGATTTTTTGTGATCTAGCGGAGAATATGTGGACGAATGCAGAATTTGTCGACAAATATCTTCGACCTAATAATTTAGCTGATCGTTGGGACCAATTCATATATCCAGCGATGAAAAATGCGATCGTGTGTTCAATGCTTGTCGCGCAAGATACCATTGATCCAAGAAAAGTAAGGACTATTCCTTAAAAAGATAAATTCGATCTTCTGATGTTACAAAATAGAATTCTTTCGAATTATTTGGTGCTGATTTTATGCTTGGTGAAGACCTTAAACCTTGGTTGATTGAGATTAACTGTAGTCCAACAATGGCGCGTAGTACTCTCGTCACTACAGAAATGTGCGATGGCGTTTTAGAAGATACATGTAAAGGTATTCGACTTTTTCACGGAGAAAAATTATTTTTATTGACAAAGAATTTTGATGTACAGTGATGATCGATCGCAGATACAATCGATCAGCTGATACAGGCCGATTTGAAATGATTCACAGAGGAACAATTGTGCCTGTTCCAATCTATGTTGGAATTGATCTTCGTGTTGAAGGTAACAAAGATTTACTTACCTTTCCATATTCAAATAATTATCGCTACACTCCTAGGCAAAGTTTGTAAAACCGGTCGACCGACAAACTATGCTCCTCCGGTGACAAACGCTACACAAAATAATAATACGATGAACAATAACAAGAACGCTACTGTGAATAAAACACCAATGTCTGCGCCTACGCAATCGAATTCGTTATCGCCTTCATCTTCTTCGTCTATCATGCCGGCTGAAAACCAACCAACTTTAGCTCAACGATCGAGTTCGCGTCTTACCGACAATCAAATCTTGTCTTCGAAAAGTTTTCATAATCTCGCTGCTCTTAAACTTCGTCGTGAAATGAGTCAACCAGCATTGAGTCGTGTGGAATTCAACTCTTCATCAGACAATCCTTCGGATAAAATGTCATCGAATGATAATTTATTGTTACCATCTCGTACAAATATCATTTATCGATTGAGTCAAAGTCAACAACCAGACCTACGTCAAAAACAAGTTAAACCCCATCCCACGCGTTTATCATTGGAGAATCTTCCTGTTCGTCACATAAGTAAAACAAGAGTAAATGATAATCCTCCATCACCAAAAGGTAAGAAAGGTCAAGAAGAATTTTGTCTTTTTTTTCTTTCGTATCGAAATTCTTTTTTTGCGAATATGAAAATGCAAACTAATTCCTATTTCCTAAAGATCTACTAGCATCATTGGGTATAACTCGCTTGCCAGTCCTACCAGTTCGTTCTCAACATATCAATCGAATCATCAAACAACGATTTGTTGTGAATCATCGAAAAACTCGCCTCTCATCTGATGATGAACAAACACTTTTCTCTTCTCTATATATTTCAACTTCACAGCCCACTGTTCAAGAATAAATTTTTCTCTCGCGTCATTTTGTTAAAATACAAATCTAGTGAATTCCAAAAACGTTGTTCTTTTGCACGAACAAAACATCATCCTCATCTCAGACACATTGTTTCGTGTTCTGGCTTCTGTACTTCATTTCGTTGCATTATGCTTCATGTTCTGTGAGAGTGCGTCCTTGTATCAACATGCAGATCAAAACAAGACCTGATGTCCCCATTAGTTATGTTTATCTTTGCATCTAGGATCAATGAACAAATATAGTCCAATTTCCAAAATAAACGTAGAGGATTTCTTATTCTTACACAAAGGCAAGTTCACCAACAAACAATAGCTTTGACAAATTTTCGCTTGTCATTCAGCTACTAACTCACTCTAATCAAATCTATCACCTTTTGTGCGTGTGTGCGTGCGTGCTTTGTCCCATGAAAAGATCTTCAGACAAGCATTGATTGAATTATTTAGGTGTGAAAGTTCCACATCAATTCCCATTCTTTCGTCAATACCAACGAACTTGGTTATCATATAAACCAGCTCACTCATCGGTAACATTGACTTCTACGACATCAAAACCTTTCAAATCACGAAAAACAATCATTCCTCCGTCTCATCTGCCAAGTTTATCAACAATTTCAATTCCAGCGACTATCTCAACCATATCCAATATGAATGATAATCATGGTCATTCGACAGCAGCAGCAGCATCCTCGTCTATTGCCGTTGTTGCATAAACGGTGAAAAGAAAGAATTTAGTTTGAAGAAATCAACCGTGTCAATAAATTTTATTTTATTATGATTAGATTGTTTGTTTTTTTCTTAATTAGAACATCTCAGAGAAAATATTTTTTTTCAAGAAAAAACCTTCATTTTATTCATTGTTTGAGAACATGAAACGTTTCCGATGAACCCGAATTCATCATATTCGTTGAGCCCATTGCTTGATCATCATAGAAAAGAAATGGACGTAAGTGCCAGCTATAACCAGCAAAGATTTCATTGGGCGTTAGTTTGAATTGAAGTTTGTTATTTGTTTCTTGGACAAAATCTTTGATTGAACTAACGCTACGTGCTAATGCTATATAACCACGAGGTCCACCGGCCGGATTGGAGCCACGAATTTCAATACCAATGTTCACATTATCATCCATAGGAACATTTTCGAATTCAATTGTATAATGAACGGTTGCTCCTGATCGATATGTCTTGCTTGAAATTTGGTTATTGGATAATAATTGGACATGAACGTTCCCAGGTACAAGTCGTATGGATGTTGCAAGTGATATAAATAGACAGACGGTTAGAAATGACAGAAACATTTTTTTGTCTCGGTTTCTTCTGGATGGTGTATGAATATCTATGATATGTAATCGATTTTTATAGTCAGTCTGTATATGTATTCATGTCTTAAAGGCTTAAGTTGTTATAAGCCAATAGAAACGATTGATCTTCCTCTTTGATATTAACATTCCGCAAGACAGAATTATCTTTTATATATGTATGTAAATAGGTGTCGAATAGTTAAAAATCGCAGTATTTAGTCGTTAGTCATTGTTGTATTTAACTGTATCAAAAACGAACGAAAAGAGATAAATGTTAGTGATTAATTGAAGTGAATGTTTTTACACAAATATGGTTCGCCACGTTCAATTTGTTAGTTTCGAATATATGCAAGAAGTTCGGAAAAGAAATAGAAATGAGTAGATCTATTAGAAGAACGACAAGAAAGAAAAAGTTCGATTCGGAATGTGTTTTTCTACATCGATGAGTGAAGTAATGGTGTGTAAGGTGGTGGTGCGTGTACGTATTGCTGTTGACTAGTCGATTTAATAGCTTCTTCATATTTAGGCGGTGAATACATCTACAATCAAGAGAAAATCAACTATGAAACACGACTGAAAACGAAGATTTTACTTCGCCAGTAATTGGTCGAATATCATCATTAGTTGTAAATGTTCCAATGGATCGAGCCATGGTCAACGCAGTAATATAGCCATAGCAATACCAGATAATTGCTGCGATGTAAATCTATAAAAGGCAGAAGCATGTTTTTAAAGGATGAATATTTGCCTTTGGGGAAAGATTTACTTTGGCTAAAACGATGAAGAGGAGAAAACTAAAGACAACTAGTTGAAGGGTTTGAGAATCTAATTCGAGTAGGTTATGTTTAAATGGAAAATCAGGTTGTATACGAAGCCAAATGGTAACATCAGGCATATATGCATAAAAACCTAACATGGATAAAATAGAGATAATAACATTGAATACTTTGATTAAAAAGTATGGGACGATGTATGATGGTTTGTTCTAGAGAATTCCGAAGATAAAAGAAACATTTTCGTCGAACAAAGGAGATTCTATACTTACAGTTAATACACCACAGATGTGTGCAAGAATCAGAATTGTAGCTGAGAAAACAACGAAGAATACGACACATTTGTCTTCTAGAATAGAATTATTTATGGATAGAGGTGAAGTTGAATTTTGAAAACAAACAAGAAATGCATACGTGAGCTCAGTGAAGAAGCCCATTTCACAGTCATTAAATCCAAATTCGAGTAAAAATTACGTGTATTCAATCCCATTGGCATTCGCGTGACATTTCGTTTTTCAAGAATTCGATTTAATAAAAAATTGCTTGAGAGAACATTTTTCTGTTCCATCATTGATCTTGGCAGTTGATCCGGATGAGAATCAAGCAATGGAGATTGTTGGGAATTCAAACTATGATGTCTTTCTAAAAATGATTCATCCTCTATTTTTGGTATTGAGTGACGAAACATGAATATCAGTGCACAAAGCACAATGGAATGAACCATCAGATCCCATAGACCAATCAACAATGCAGCAGCTCTATAAATCAAACAAAACCTTATCATTGTTCTTGAAACTATGTACTTTCACAAAGCGGTGACCTCCAAACGATTAAATAAGATTAAGTTGAAATCGTCAGTAAAGGCTTAGAGTAATAAAACATTATTTTTACCTGATCCGTATACAGAAAAGTACTCGTCGATTATATTGACGTCGTACGTCCGTTTCGACATCAACTGTTGTTAACATCATCGCTTGAATGAGGAAAACTCCAAAATAAAAACTAAAATTTTGTTTCAAAAATCTAGAAAGAGAAAGAACTGCAACATCAAACATGTTTCCTAATATGAAAGACTAAACTGATATTAAAAAAAAAGGACATAAGTACGAAAAGTGTAGAAAAAAGAACACGAAGGTAAGATCATTCCTGAGAGTGAAAAACCAGAACAAACTACATAACAAGGTACGTCGCACTCAAAAATGTTTGATTCAATCGTTTTTAGCATGTATATATTGTTCACGTTGAATATACGTATTATAAATTAATGATCCACAACTGACCAAGCAAAACATTGTATGGTGCCAAAAGAGAATATACGAAATTAAGACTGTGAAATGTTGACTACTAAACAACGTTCTCATTTCATTCCAAGATGCAGCTAATGATGAATTTGCATCAGTAGAATTCGTCATATAATTATCAAAGTATTGCAACCAGCGTGGTGGAGTTGGAGCATGAAGTGGTAGAACATTATTATTTGAAGAAAAGACTTTCAAATAGAAGCAAATAATCAATTCAATAAAAATCGGTAAGATGTATTGAGATGTAACGACACCAAGATATAAGAATATGGATGTGACGTTACGTTGATAGGAAAGATTGGTTATTCGTGTAGAAGTGGATTGTTGTTGCTCGTAGAGAGTCTTGACACGATCGAAGGCTGTGTCAAGATAGATTTGCATGTATGGTTTGAATAGACAAATTCGTAAAATTGAACAGAATATGACGGAAACGATCTTCAATTGTATAAGATGAGTTTCATCAAAACGTTGAATGATTGGTTTCAACCATAGTAAACATGTGAATATCGGTAGGGTAAAATTGACTATAGTTAAGAGAAAAACTAAGATTTGTTTGAAATCTCGTTTTGATTGTCGATTTTTTAAGACGAATAAGTATTGCAATTGACCAAAACGAAATGCTGGGAAAAAAAGTATGATTGATTGATAAGCATTCAGGACCGCTAAACACATAACGATGTATATAAAACGACGATCGAGATAGTTCATTTCTTCGTCATTGTCATCGTTATAAACGATCGTGCGGTTTCCATATGTTTCTTTCAGATTAAAATGAAAGAAACGTTCATCGATGAATTGCAAGCAGAGTGCAAGAAGAAACGAAAAAGCACCGAAGAGAATGCATAAAATTCCTTCGTCAACTTTTAAATATTCTCGTACAAATCTTGTCAAAACAATCGATGCAAGTAACAATGAGATTGAACACCAGAATAAGCTCAGATTAATCTCATTTAAATGTTCATTATTCTGACGAATTATTGGGATGATGTAGAGATAAATTTCTGTTAAAAGAAAAATAACAATCGAGCCAGAGATAAAATCAACTAAGGAAAAGAATTCATCGATATATTTCACATAAATTGCATCTTTATGAACGATTGGAATTAATTTCAATTCAATTGATGTATCCGCTGGAATTGGAAATTCTTCGGTTGTGTTTGAATCGTTGTTATTCTCCGAAGAAGCTTTGTGATACGATTTCGAGATGTTTGCTTGCTTTTTCGATTTATTTGTCGATTCCTTTGCATAGCGTTGTTTGATGGCTTGTTTGAACTCTTCATTTGTCGGTGGCCAATAACGAAATAAACCTTTGCATAATAACCAACGACCAAATGAATAATACTTCGTTAATTTAGTTAAAAAACAAAACACAACTAAAGAAATAACAATTTGTAAACCGAATATTGCCATTGATAATGATTATTTCTAATCACTTGATTGACTGTGATATATTGCAAATAGATTAAAAAACGACGGACATATTTTTCTTTTTCCGCTTGATACACACTCAGATAACCATTATTGCCTCACGTAAGCCTCTCTCAGATATTTACGTAGTAAAAAACAATCATTTCACTCAAATTGCTACACTTATTTGATGAAAACATTCATGTAATTATTTTCTTATTTATTATAAGTTTATGAGACAGACAATTAGTGACATCTAGCGTCCATTTCGCTCTCTCTCGCAAGAAACAAAATAGCAATGAATCCTCTTTACCCACAAGTAAATGTTTTTTAGCAAGAGTAACAGTAACAATAAGAAAATAAATAAAAGCCAATATCTGACAGAAAATTCTATTCAACTGTCCATCGGATTTAATCCCAAGATTCTTCATTTTGACTATTATGACGTGTGTTTTTGACGAAATCGTTTGAATGGTTAGTAGAGCAGTGTTCATGTTCGTGATCGTCCTCATGTGGATGAGTTTGCAGATCTTCAGCGAGAATAATTCGATCATGATCAAGTAGTTTGTAGCCAATGCTTCCAATGATCTGTTTTAATTCTTCCAAGGTCAATTTGGAATCAACTAAACGTGGATGATGGAGTAATGTTTGACAATTAATAGTCAAGGGAAATGTATCATGATTATCATCACCATGACGAGCTTTATCTTGAGCCACTAGACGGTACATTTCCAGAATATAACGAATTTGCTCGTGTATTTCGGTAGTTTTCTTGATGCCGTATGGATAATCAATGAGACTGACGACTTCGTGTTGTTTACAATATGATAAACGTTGGAATAGTTCGTTCGATGTTAAACTTGACTGAGGATTCATTTCTTGTTGATAAAAGATAGCGATTTGCGTACATGCGCCCACGTCTCGATGTCGTTCACTCGGCGGTGCTTCACCAACACCACTAAATTCAACTAAATAATTGTAATTGACAGCAATCTGTTGTGCCCAAAGACAGAATTGTTGACGTGTAAATTCGAATTTGTGGTCCATATGTCGAAATTGTCCACAAGGCATTGTTGAAAAGAGAACATTGAAATCAGCGTTTGGTGTCGATACGATCACTAAACGAGGCCGTATATAACCGAATACGTGCGTGATTAAGTTTTCTAAATCATTTATATACAGATGTTCAATAACTTCAATCAGAGTAACAACATCGAAATTGTAAAAACAATTGCACACTTTTGTAGCATCACCTGTCAACATGGTTCAGTTGTTTCAACTAATCAGTATATCAAAGATGACTTACCGTGTAGTATGTACATATGTAATGGAGTTTCACGACGGAAACTGATGTATTCAACAGGTAGAGGTTTCAATCGAAAGCATGCTTCGTCTAATTGATAGCGAACAATGTCAATTGCAGCAGCTAATTGTATATGTGGATTACGATATTTGCCGATAGTTAATAGTTGACAGGTACCACAACCGATGTCGAGTAATGAGTAGAGGGAGGGATCATTTTGTATGATGTCTAATGCGAATTGATAACGTTGTCGATAGAGTGGGGGAGTAAAATGAACTTCGCCTTCGTGATCAGGGATGTGATGAGTAGATAATTGTTTTTCTGGGTGATTAGTAGATTCAGTTGATTTTGTTTCGACTGTTGCCATATCTTAAAGGACAATGAGTGTTTAGTTTTGGTGGCAGTATGCTGTTTATCTACAATTCACTGTATCGTGTTTCGAATTGAGAGGGGAATGAAGCTATAAAAGGTAGGAGAAAAAGAACAGCTGACTTTCAGGCTAGTTTAAAGGGAACTCGTCGATTTATCTGAGTTTTAAGATTAGTACCCATCTCATCTTCTATCTAAGAGACGATTGATGCCATTCTTTGATTTGTTACAATCGAGCCAATAAAAACATGCTTGTAGAATCGACGTTTAAAAAAATATTGCATTCAAGGAGTAAAAAAATAAGGGATCTGACATACTCTATCACTAATTAATACTGATCAAATAGTTAGAAAAATCTAGAGGTCGCTCAGAAAATATTAGTAAAATTCGAAAAGAAAGAAATTCTTTGAACAAAGGATTGTATATATACCATTGACTTAGTCGACGATTAGTGTATTTCTTCGTCTGAAACGTTCTCGATCAGTCGACATTGTTATTATCTAAACAAGAATGCTTCCAACAAACACAGCTACAAATCCAGCTCCAGCTCCAGCTCCAGGTGGAGTCAAGATGCAAAAACTCAAATCAAGTGAAGATATTCCCGCCACTGCATTATTCGTTATCAAGCGAGGTATTGCAATCTACTTCTGTAATAACACATACTAAGAATTGATTTTATAATTTAAGATGGCCGAAAGGAATATGCCATGTTTGATAAGATTACATCACGAATCTCAAAACTTAGTGATGGTCTTGATCTTGATTATGTCGATCCAGTATGTCATTTCCTTGTGTCTTGTTGATTACGTCAATTGAATGTTTTTAGGCAGCGGTTGCTTTACAAGTCATCAATTTCCTTCATCCAGGTAAATAGGTTTATTTAGTTTGTGTGGTAAAGAAATAAAACCCATGATATTTAGGTGTAACAACAGTTGAACTCGATAATTTAGCTGCACAAAAAGCAGCATCAATGACAGTTAAACATCCTCACTATGGTATCCTTGCTGGACGTATTGCTGTTAGCAATTTACACAAAGAAACCAAAGCTTTGTTCAGCGGTTTGTGTCTTAGATCATATATACTTCATTGGTATATGAGAACGTTGTGTTTCTTTTTGTAGAAGTCATTGCTGATATGTACAATCATATCAATCCTGATTTAAATACACATGCTCCAATTATCTCACAAGAAACATACGATGTTGTTATGGCTCATGCTGATGTATAGATTAGAATATATGCGATCTTTCTCATTGTTTGATTTAATATTTAGAAACTCAATGCAGCTGTTAAACATGAACGTGATTTTGATTTCAATTACTTTGGTTTCAAAGTAAAAATTATTTCATTAAAATAATTTCTTCTATTCGTTCGCTTTTCAAGACACTTGAACGTTCGTATTTACGTCGTCTTAACAACGCCATCGTTGAACGCCCACAACACATGCTCATGCGTGTTGCTGTTGGTATTCACGGATCGGACATTGACAGTGCCATTGAAACATACAATTTATTGTCAGAAAAATGGTTCACACATGCCACACCAACACTTTTCAATGCTGGTAACACTTACTTTGCTTTGATGTATGCCGATAATTGTATTTTGATTTTAGGCACAACAAAAGCACAAATGGCATCATGTTATTTATTGACAATGTGTGATGATAGTATTGAAGGTATTTTTGAAACATTACGTCGATGTGCAATTATTTCCAAGAATGCCGGTGGCATTGGCCTTGCGATTAGTTGCATTCGAGCCAATGGATCGTACATCGAAGGAGTACGAATCTATTCGGAAAAGCATATTTTGAGTTTTTATCATAATTCTTTTTAGACCAATGGTCGTTCCGATGGTGTTTTGCCAATGATGCGTGTGTTTAACAACGTTGCTCGATATGTCAATCAAGGTGGCAAACGACCAGGTAGGTGTTGACGGTTCATTGTAAGCGAGTGCCTTTTTTTTCGTTGTTGTTTCGTGTAGGTGCTTATGCACTCTATTTGGAACCATGGCATGCTGATATCTTTGAATTTTTGGACGTACGAAAGAACACTGGTGCTGAAGAAAAACGCGCACGTGATCTTTTCCCAGCTTTATGGATTCCTGACTTATTCATGCGTCGTGTTGAAGCGAACGAAAAATGGACATTGATGTGTCCACATCAATGTAAACATTTACAAAATGTCTGGGGAAAAGAATTCGATGATTTATATACAAAATACGAACAAGAGGGTCTCGGAAGACGTACAGTCAAAGCACAAGATCTTTGGTTTGCTATTGTCAATTCGCAAATCGAAACTGGCACACCATTTATGTTATACAAGGATCATTGTAATGCCAAAAGTAATCAACAACATCTTGGTACCATTCATTGTTCGAATTTATGTACGGAAATTGTTGAATATACATCACCAAATGAAGTTGCTGTTTGCAATTTGGCATCGATTGCACTTAACCGATTCGTTCGTTCAGATCGTACATTCGATTTCGATAAACTTGTGCACGTCACAGGTGTCATTGTACGCAACTTAAACAAAATTATCGATATCAACTTTTATCCATTGAAAGAAGTATGTCTCATGCTACTTTAGTGTTTATACTTTGAGAAAAAGGATTTTCTTCTAGGCTGAAGCATCGAATCTTCGTCATCGTCCAATTGGTATTGGTGTTCAAGGTCTTGCTGATACATTCTGTTTAATGCGACACCCATTCGATAGTGAAGAAGCTCAACAACTCAATCGTGATATATTCGAAACAATCTACTATGCTGCATTGAAAGCAAGTTGTGAATTAGCCAAAATCAATGGCACATATGAAACATATCATGGTTCGCCGGTCAGCAAAGGCGTAAGTAGATGTTCATCTATTACGTATTCGAGCACAAGGTTTTTTATTTAGATTCTTCAATTTGATATGTGGAATGTGACACCATCCAATCGTTGGAATTGGACTGAACTTCGTAGTCAGATATCTCAATATGGTATTCGTAATAGTTTATTATTAGCACCGATGCCGACAGCTTCAACAGCTCAAATTCTCGGAAACAACGAATCAATTGAACCATATACCAGCAATTTATACGTTCGACGTGTACTTTCTGGC